TATCCCATCCCCGATATGTTGTAGTTCATCTCCAATATTTTTTATCCCATCCCCTATATATTGTAGTTCATCCCCAATATTTTTTGTCTCATCCACAATAATTTCTTGCGCATCCCCAGTATTTTTTAACTGACCCCCTAATATTTTTTAGATCATCCCCAGTATTTTTTAGTTCATCCCCAGTATTTTCTAGCTCATCCCAAGTATTTTTTAGCTCAAAGTTAATATTTTTTTAACTCATTCGTAATATTGTCTGCCTTACCCCCAGCATTTTCTAGTTCCAGCCCTAATGTTGCCAAGTATTTTGTAGTTGTAGCTCATCCTCAATGTTCCCCAATATTTTCTAGCTCATCCTGAATATTCCCCACTATTTTCTATTTCCATCCCCAGTATTTTCTGGTTAATCCCGAGTATTCTCCACTATTTTCTAGCTTCATGCCCAACATTTTCTAACTCATCCCCAATATCCCACAGTATTTTCTAGCTCATCCCCAGTATTTTCTAGCTCAACCATAGTATTTTCTAGCTCTTCCCGAATATTTTGTAGCTCATCCATAAAATTTTCAGGCGTATCCCTAATAATAGTTTCTAGCTCTTCCCTAATATTTTAAAGCTCATCCAGTATTTTTTTGCTCATCCCTAATATTTTCTAGCTCATCCCCAGCATTAGCCAGCTCATTCCCAGTATTTTTTAGGTCATCCTCAATATCTTTTAGCTTATCCCCAGTATTTTCTACTTCATCCCTAATATTTTCTAGATCATCCGAATATATTTTCTAGCTCATCCCCAATATTTTCTAGGTCAACCCTAATACTTTCTATCTAGTCCATCTCCAGTACTTTCTTAGTTTTTAGCTCAACCCTATTATTTTCGAGCTCATCACCGGTATTTTTTTAGCTCATCCACAGCATTTTCTAGCTCATCCCTTATATTTTCGAGCTCATCCTCAGTATTTTCTAGCCCCTTCCCCAGTATTTTCAGGCTCAACCCTAGCATTCCTCAGTTCTACATCATTCCCATTATTTTCTAGATGACGCCCCAAATTTGACAGTATTTTCTAGCCCATCCTCATTATTTTCCGGCTTATCCCAACTTATATTCCCCAATATTTTCCCAGCTCATCTCCAATATTTTCTAGCTCAAACTTAATTTTTTTTTTTTTAGCTCATCCCCCATATTTTTAGCTCACTCCCAGTGTGTTCTTAGCTCATCCCCAGTATGGTTCAGCTCAACCCCAATATTTTTTAGATCATCCACACTATTTTCTAGCTCCACCCCTAGTATTTTCTAGCTCCATATATAGTATCTTCTCACTCATCCCCAATATTCCCCATCCCAAATGTAGCATGTTAACCCTATTCGTACGCTGTGTTTTACTATCGCATCCATACGACTTGGGGAACTCTAGTCTGTTTCCAAACTGGAAATTTACTCGTTAAGCCGATCCGTACGCTTTGCATAGCAGTCTGTCAAAATTATTTTTTGAGAAATGGGCCTACTGGAACATTTCAAAGGTCTCAGTTTTACGGCGCTCGCAACTGCATAAGGTCATATGAGTGCCAGAAGATTAGAGGTGTTACAAGAGAGTAACAAACATAAAAAAGAAGAAGGGGAGATAAGGATGATAGATGTTTGATAGGAAGGAAGAAGCAAACCACACCAGAGCACCCACCAACCACCCTCCAAAGAGGTCTTCGAACTAGAAGTATTCTAAAATGTGAAGAATACAACTTTGGGGGTACAAAATGACCCCAAGGCGTACGGATAGGGTAAAGCACTCAAACACAATGTAATCCCATCTACGCTGACCTCAGTACTGTTGACAAAAATATTGAGAGTGAGTCAATTTCAAAAGACTACATCAACTACATGTGTGTAATATTATGCTATTTCAGTAATTTCACAGAGATGAAATCGCTCTTTGAATCTAGCATCTAGCTATATTTTCCAAAGTTAGTTAATCTCATCATTTCAGTCTTTCCTGTCAAACACATCAATCATCCTTAGCTTTCCTCGCGTTTTTTCATTTGCCTTTTTTTTTGGTTCCAACACCAAGTAACACCTCCAATCTTCAGCATTTATATTATATTATTAATATTATTATGCTTTTATTGGCTTTGGAATTGTTGAAGTAAAACTTGAGCTGCACAGTTCTAAGTAATTTTTAATCTAGCATCTAGCTATATTTTCCAAAGTTAGTTAATCTCATCATTTCAGTCACTTTCACTTTTAATAAATTGTGTGCAAAAACACGAGTGGACTTATACATACATGTAATAAGCTTCCACCAAGTCTCTCAGTCTCAGTGATATTTTAAAAATTTATATATATATAATTTTCTGGACATCTTTACATTATCAAATTGTGCGATTTTCTTTGATACAGTGAGTCTTTTAGACAGTGAGCCTCAGACTCATTGATTATTTTTTTTTTCACAATTGAGCTGATTTTATGAAAATTGCTGATAGAGTGATAGATAATTCAAAACAATTGTCATGAAAAGTGAAGAAAATTGTATTAAAAAATAAAAGAATGAGGTAGGCTATAATTTGTCCCAAAAAATACAAGTACAAGTGAGGGAGTAAGATGATTTTTGTTATTTTCTGGTTTCCTTTCTGAGGTTTATTCAATGTTTCAGTGGGCCATGTCTCCGAAAAATATTTTTCCCCGACTTTATAAGCTCTTTATGTACGTGAAAGCATACAATAAACAGTTTCACAAAAATGAATGTACAAAATTTTGAAAAAGAAGGATAGAGAGTTGACTTATCGTCATTGAGACGGGTTGTTTTTCTTTTTTTAATGGAGTCCGTTTTACGATCTGAGAAAAGCATCAAAAGCAAGTTTTAAAATCTTATGAATACGCATAAAATTTGGAAACCACTTCCTAGTCGGCTTACTCTTTGATAATTTTTAATAATTAATTATGAGAGGTGAAGAAAAACAAAGACAAAGATGTACAATTTGTATAAATATGACCATTAGAAGTAAAGATATTGTCCATTTTGTCTGTCAATTTCGGGTTATCCTCGAGGGTGAATTTTTAAAGTTTAATTTAGTATGGGGTTTTACGGCGCTCGCAACTGCATAAGGTCATATGAGCGCGCAAAACACAAGTTAGTTTTATTCGCAGTTCACTGTACAGCTGGGTACGGGTCATTAGATCTTAAAACGTTGAAATTATTTAAAATTCAAATATATATTTTCAATCTAAAACAACTTTCACAAAAATTTTTAAAACTTCAATTTCGATCTAAAATTTCCCATAAAGGCCAATGACCTTCATAAAATCCAAAATTCTGTTGGGATCAACGATGGAAAAAATGTCTTGTAAGTTTTTGCATTTAAAGTATTTCCTTCGGATCTCTCTGAAGTCTAGACATTCTGTTAAAATGTGTCTAATGGTAAAATCTGTGTCCTATCCGACACAGAACGGCTTCTCATCTCCCTGAAGGAGGTATTTGTGTGTTAGGGCCGTGTGTCCGATGCGTAATCGAGTAGGTGATTTTTTAAATTTTGTCCCCCTGTACACATGTATAAGTACCGAAAAATATTTCTGTGACTTTGGAAAGAGGCGTTTTTTGTAATTGTGTGCATTCTATGCAAAATTCACAACAAACTGACATTATACTTTTAAAAATACCATTTAAAATTTTTTTTTATAGATACATATGGTAATTTGTGTTGTAAAGTTGCATTCTGGTGTCACAAAAACTCTATGTTACAATTCGCCTGAAATTGGCCTAACTTTAGGTATGAACAAATGCCATAATATATAACTTTTAAACTAATGAAGATCTTCACAATTTATTACAGTCCGTGCCAGCTTTAAGCACGCCGGCTTAAAGCACGTTTCGGACTCAAGCACGCTCAACGGCTCTTACTGAATTTTTGCTATATAAATTACACGCCTTTAAGCACGGTAACTTCGGCTTCAAGCACGCTTCATTTACAAGAGAGTCAATATTTTCATGATGACCCATCGAAGTTCGAACACAGTCTACACCGCAGCAGTGGAGTGAGTCTAGAGAAACACAAAGAACGCAAGTGATGGACACACACACTCACACGGGCGGAGAGGAAGGCAGATGCACACAGCCGCACGCGCGGACATGGGATCTAGCTTAGACCTAGGGCAAAGCTGCACACGACCAAAAAAAATACAAAGAGAGTCGGGGAGACGAGAAAGGGAGGCTGGCTGCGATTTCACCTTTGACCCTCGCTATCCATTAATCCTGATTGTGTATCACGTGCGAGGTGTGATGAAGGCGGTGGTATGAGTGGCACAGCGGGCAGAGGTACGCACAGGCAGTGTGTAGGCCTAGTGTGCTGTATCGTGACAGGCCGTCTAAATTAAATTTTCATTTCCCATTCGACCACAAAACAAAAACAGACAAGCGAACAAAAACTACCATGGCGGGTGTCTAGATAACAGTGCACACTTTTGCGGGACCGCTATAGGCTTACTTACAAACAAAGGGAAATAGCACGGGGAATTTTCTACATGAAAATATCTGGATTATATTATTATCTACTTCGCACTCAAGCACGCTTAAGCTTTCTCCCGACGACCGTGCTTAAAACCGGCATGGACTGTACTGTTTTATGATCATGCAGACAAATGCTTTCAAATGAAAGTATTTTAAACTGTCCCTGTGGTTTTATGCACAAAAAAATTCTGAAATTGTGCAAACTGAGCCCAAAAATGTGAAATTATGCGATTCTGTTAATTTTAACAAAATAAAAAAATAATCAGAAATTATGCAAAAAAAAGATCAAAATTTGCAATATTATGCGGGGTGCATTAAACCACGGAGACAGTTGAAAGCATTCAGATAATTTTGAAATTTTCATTAAACTGAATACTTATAGATTAAGTTATAAGGCCTATTTGTGTTGCAAGTGCTGTTAAAGTAAAACCCCTAATATAAACTTGGAGACGATGAAAACAGTTGACAAACACAAGAAAAAACAAAAATTTAAAAATTCTGAAGAACTGATGAGGACTATATTTACATTTATTCATTTTTTCCCTTTCTTCACTTTACTGCGCTTGGGTGTATTTTTCCCCATCTTTACGCCCGTTTTCTCAGTCCCAGAAAGTGCTTTCTTTGGAGCGGCCTTCGTCTCGCGGGACTTTGCCACAGCCACAGCCCCACTTCCTGGCCGCTTTCGCTTCAAGGTCCTCGGCGGCGGGGTGGAAACAGCCGTGCCATTGGAGGACACTGTCGTCTTTGGCGTCTTGTTGGTCCGAGCCACGCTGGCACCAGGGGATGGGGTCACTTTACGGCCTGCTTTGCCCGCCGCGGCTGGAGTGGAACCTGAACCCTCAGACTTGGGGGGTGCCGTCACGTTGGTCACCGGCATACTCTGTGGGGGGGGAAAAATTTGAACAAGTTTTAGTCGGGAGTTTTACAGCACTTGCAACACAATAAGTGCCGAAGATTAGTTTAGTTTAGCATTACTAAGCATTTTACGGCACTTGTAACACAATAAGGTCATATTGGAGCCGAAGATTACAGAGATATTACTGGAGTAACATACACAGAAAAGAAAGAGTGGAGATGAGGATGATAGATGTTTGATGGGAAAGAATAAGAAAACCACACTAGAGCATCCACAAGCCACCCACTGTGGGGGGAAGATTTAAACAGTTTTAGTCGGGAGTTTTTATGGCATTCTCTACATAAACAGAAGGTCGTATGGGGGCAGAAGAATTGAGACGTAAAGTCTAGAGAGTAACATACAACGAAAAGAAGGAGAGACAAAGATGAACAGTTTTACGGCACTTTCTACATAAATAGGTCCTACTAGAGCCGAAGAATAGACGTAACTAGAGAGTAACATACAACGAAAAGTAGGAGAGATAAGGGCGATAAGTTTTAGTCAGTTTTATGGTACTTTTTACATAAATAGAAGGTCGTATTAGTGCCTTAGATTAAAGATATTACGAGAGAGTAATATACACAGAAAAGAAAGAGGGGAGATAAGTTTTAGTTTTAGTATGGTATTACCGCGCTCGCACCAGCAAAAGGTCATATGAGCCCCAAGGAGTGGATGTTAACAGAGAAGTCCTTACAGGGAATCAGGCATACTCTGCTCACCTCTCTAGCTCCAACAGCCAACAGCACAAAATCTGCTTCGACTATCAAGGCACCCCGGAAATAGCGGGTCACAAGAGTGTGACAAACATACAAAAGAAGTAGAGGTAAAAATGACGATAGTAAGGATGAGGAAAGAAAAAGCAGCAGTTCCCCCTATGTTGTTCCGGCACAGTATGAGTATGACATTGAAAAATCAGCCCATTTACAATTCTACTATGCATAAAAACATGATAACATTCCCCCTTTGGGAACGGCATAAAGACAATTTCAGTCAGAAGTACTTCCCTGGTGGGGGGGGGGGGGGGGGGGGGGGGGGGGGGGAAAAAAAAGTAAAAATTTTGTTGGGAAAAAAGGGGCAAACCCCCCCCAAGGCCCCGGCACCCCCCCCCGGATTTATGGGGGAATTCTTTCCAAAGGGGGGGGGGGGGGCTTTTAAAAGAGAGGGAAAAGAATGATAGATATTTGATAGGAAAGAAGGAGCAAACCACACCAGAGCACCTGCCAACCACCCACTGACTAACAGTGAATATCATTCAGAAGTGGGGGAGGGGGCCTTTTAAATGATACCCCAAAAAAATGGTTAAAATTTTTTTTTTAAATCAATCATGTTCTCATGGAGTTTTTACACAACCTGCATGGCTGAAATAGGTCACATAAGTGTGGAAGGTTAGAGGTGTTACCAAAGAGAGTAACAAAAAAGCAAGGGTGGAGGAGAGAAGAGAAGAGATCAGGACGATAGACGTTTAACCCTATCCGTACGTCGCGTTTTACTATCGTATCCATACAACATGGCGAACTCTGTGCCACCTCTTTCCAAAGAGGAAATTTACTCGTTAATCCAATTCCGTACACTTTGGATAGCAGTCTGTCAAAATGATTTTTTGAAATATACTGAAAGTTTCCCACAGATGAACTGAGCAGGACAGCCCAATTTATGACAGATACCAGACTTCAAGTGTGATGCGATCAAGAAGAAGAAGAAGACTGAAAGTTTCAAAGACATCTTCACACTAGAAGTATTCTAAAATGTGAAGTATACAACCCTCGGGGTACAAAATGACCCCCCCCCCCGGGGCATACGCATAGGGTTAATAGGAAAGAAAAAGAAGAAGAAGAAGAAGAAGAAGAAGAAGAAGAAAAAGAAGAAGAAAAGAAGAAAAAGAGGAAGAAGCAGACCACAGCAGAGAGGCTGCACCTGCACCCGCCATCCAGCCACCCACCAGAACATCGTCCAGCTGCAAGTCGATGCCCAGCTCCTTCAGTTTCTTCAGCTTGTCCGCCTGCCGTCTGCTCGAGCGCTTGGCTGACCTCTGGACCTTGACCTCAGACTTAGCAGTGTTGTGCAGGCGCTTGGGCTTGATGTTGGGCCGCCAGTCGTACGAGAAGAACGTGTCTTTGTGGAGATCCTCCGGTTTCTTGTACTCGCCTGAAGCAGACACAGACAGACCCAGTGAAGTGAGAAGTGTACCACTTTATTTTAAACGCCTTTATCTAAATTATTAGTAATGGGTTATATATATTTTTTTATAGTAGAGGGTTTTACAGCGCTCGCAACTGCATAAGGTCGTATGAGCGCCAAGGCGTGGGAGTCAACAGAGAAGTCTTTACAGGGAATCAGACTTAGACTGCTCACCTCTCTAGCTTCAACAGCACAAGGTCTGCTTCGACTATCAAGGCACCCCAGAAATAGCAGGTCACAAGAGAGTGACAAAACAAAAGAAGTAGAGGAAAATGACAAATGTAAGGATCAGGAAAGAAAAACCAGCAGTTCCCTGTTGTAGATCAGGCACAGTTATGAGCGTGACATGAGTCAGCCCACTTACAATTCTACTATGCTTGAACGAGAAATGTCCCCCCTTTGGGAATGGCCTAAAGACACTTTAGTCAGTGGCACTGCCCCGCTGGGTTAGTAATGGGTTATTTTTAGACCCAAACAGTAGATAGGGCAATCTTATTCTTTCTCAGCTGTGAACGTTTTTGTCATAACTATTTCTTATTAAGATGCACACTATCAAAAAATGTTTTAGTAAGTGTTTCACGGCACTTGCAACACAATAAGGTTACATAAGCTACAAATATTAGAGGTGCTGCAAGAGAGTAACAAACACAAAAAAAAGGACGGGAGATAAGGATGATAGATGTTTGATAGGAAAGAAGGAGCAAACCACACCAGAGTACCCGCCAACGACCCACCTGGGGTGGGGGGGGGGGGGAAGGTTAACTTTTAGTAAGTTTTATGGCACTTCCAATACGATCAGATCATACAAGAGCCAAAGATTGGAGGGGTTAACTGGAAAGTGACATACAAAGATGAGAAGGAGACCGTAGAATGACAATAGATATTCGATAGGAAAGTTAAGTAGGGGCAAAGCACACCAGGGCACTCACTCCAGAGCGCCCACCAACCACCCACTTACATTTCAACAACTTGTCGAAGAAGAGATAATTGTGGCAGGTGTCAGCGACTGTTTTGGCGACGGCCGTGTACTGGAACTTGACAAATGCGTAGCCTTTGGACTTTCCACTCTGCGGAAAATAATATTTATCATAACCATTTATAATCAATAAATCACCCTCCGTACTGAATCTTGGGGCAAACAATAAATACACACATCCCGCTCGCATGACTTTCAGCGTGCATGTATATACAGTATAACACGGATAGCTCGAATTCGTTGGGACCGCCCTCGGCAGTTTGAGCGATCCGTAGTTCGATGGATATCTGATATCTTACAAAGATAAAGAAGAACACCAAAAAAAAAAAAAATTTTTTTTTTAAAAACGGGACCGCAGGCACAGTTCGACGGAAGCGTGATTTCGAGTCTCCTGAGTTCGACCTATCCCTGTTATATTGTATATTCCTTGGTCAGGTGCAAGATTTATAAATTATAAAAAATACAGTCAAACTTGCTCTAAAGGCCACCTGAACAAGACAATCACCTATACACACAGCCACTTTCCATTCTATTTTCTCCCATGTTTTGATTTCATATTAATTAAAATGACACTGTGTAACATGTCCACCTCTTAGACAATTTAGACCGCAGTACGGATTTTTAAAATGATATAAAAATGAAATTTTATCATTTAAAAAACGACAAAATAAATCATTATCTATTTAGGTACAAATTAATTATTAGAAATCTGCGTCACAACAGTGGAATCAGGCACTAATCAAAGTTTGGGCACAAGGAGTCAATGGCATCACACTAAAGCTTGATCATCTGTCTTTCACAATAGAAGTTGACATATATTTTCGATTTTAAAAGGTCGGGTTCGCCAGGTATCACGGTACAATTAATAAGAAAATGACCTTCAAAATTTGGTGGCTTCCAAAGCCAGAGTGCCCTTGGAAACTGCATATTGACATGTGTGCCTTGCCTTTAAATCAACCTTTTCTTGGAGTGAAATCCGCACAGAAAAAAGAAATGATTTTCAATGGACTGAAACTTAAAAGGTACTGACACTGAGTTGGGGGTTTTCTTTTAATGGATAAAAATTGCACAAGGGGAGGAAAAATTTTGATTTTTTCTGTTTGATCCTTTTGACGAGTGCCAGGTTTCCCCACGATGCTACACATATAATACACATATAATACAAAGAATACATTCATTTATATACAAAATAAACTGACCACACAAAGAATTTTGTTTAGAATTCTGTTTTTAAAAAGGACACTTTTTCTTTAGAATTCTATTTTTTTTAAACACCTATTTTAGAATGCAATTTTTCACAAATATAGCAGCTCTCAAATCCAGACTTAGTACTGTACTTTCTAAACAGAAATAAAAACTCTTATTAATAGTCGGAATGTGATGCTCCGTGTTATTTCCATTAACCCCCATCCAATCAACACTACCTGAAATCCCCACAGAAATGTGAGGCATCATGGAGAAATTGGGCGCTTGTCAAAATAATGAAATTTAAATAGAAAAAAACAGGCACTTTTTCCATCAGTTAGGCAATTTTTGTTTTTTTCGGCTCAACATCTAATATGTCAGTTTGACAACACATCTTGTATATTTTACTGCATCAAACAACATTGACTAAAGGCACAAAATATATAAACTTTCAGTTTTCAAGGACTCTCAAGAAGGTATTGAATTTTCCAAACTTTGGGGGCCATTTTCTCGCTACTTTTATCTCTGAAACCAGGTGACTCCCACCTTCTTCAAACACAAATATCTTGACTTCTATTAAAGATATAGATCTACATGGGTATTTATTTCATCAAAGCAAGGCAAATGAACAGGCTTTAAGTTGATATCAGTAACTCCATATATGCCCAAAAATGGACGAGCGCCCGATTCCCCAACTGTGGGACACAAATGTGTCGAGCCACAATAAAAATTAATAATGTGATCTCTTAAATTTCATCATTCTAACGAGACCCTGATTTCACCCCATTATTGTCACAAGGTCACACAAATCATATTTTACCTTTTTTGACCGTGATAGCTTAATTTGTAGAACTTTGCCAAACTGTGAGAAGTATTTCTTCAGCTCTTCCTCGTAAAAGCCATGAGGTACATGTCCAATGTAGATCACCCCTGGCTGTCGATCCTCGTCTGTGACCTGAAATGAAAACATATATATATATACGTTTTTTTAAAAATTTTGTTATAATTTGATACCTCAGGGTTGCCAATTTTTTTCAACATCCAGTCTGGGACACCCAACCGCTATGATATCAGATCAAGTAACAACGAAGAAAATCACAGAATCACATCAAGTGCGACTGGTTTCAGGTGAGGTATAGTCAATGTCTCCTCAAGTTCCTCGATTGCCAAATTCAGGAACAGTACTGGGAAATTCGGGACTGTTACCAAGTCTGATATCAGAAATGTGTACAGTCCCAACAAGACTGGAAATACACTTTTAAAATCAATAGATAGGTTTAACGAAACTCCACAACTATTACGACATTTTGCTTCTTTACAGATTATCTTAAGTCTTAACCCTTTATCTGCGGAGGGGGTTTTCCCCACTATGAAAGAGACCTCTTTTGGTACAAAACCAGATTTGGAAAAGTACACTTATTCAATTGCAGATTAGTACAACATCACAGCAGAATGACTCGCCTTTGAAAGTAGGACAAGTAAATGACGGGACGATTGTTAATATTCTTGCATTTAATTCTGATTTGCGCTTTTCATAGCATCAGGCATGTTTCACTCTGGTTCCTAACCCTAACCCTGAAAAACGCAAAAAGGAATTAAACGCGGGAATCTTAACAATCTCAAATGACGGAGCAAATCAAAACTACGGATTTCCGTAGATTTACGGAAAATTTCCATCCCTGCAATATCTAGAATCTAGATCTAGAATCTAGTGGGAAGATTTAAGAATACCAGACCACTCGTACTATTGCGCGAGAATGGGGGACAGAGGAAAGATAGGGGTGGGGTTCAGGGGGGGTCCCCGGACAAACTTTTTGAATGGATCTAGAGGAAGGACTTCCGTAACGAGCGAACACCCCATCAAACACAATATAAATCTACGATTTATAATACGATCTACCTCTCACCCCGGGTGAGACTTGCCAGCGTAGGCTATTCTTCTAGATTAAATTTGGATTTAATAATTAAATAGCAACCAGCACACAGTACTAGAAATCTAGATCTAGATCTAGATCTAGATCTATCTAGATCTAGATTCTAGATCTAGATTGAAAGTGGCTATTCTCACCTGCCCGGAAGTTCTCGCAAGATCTACTCCTCCCCTCTTCTCTCTCTCTCTGTCCCTTTCTGAATACTGTCTATCGGTGTGGACGATCAAATTGACCAAAACAAAGTTAAAAAATGGGCTTACCAAAAAATGATGTTAAAACACAAAAGTAAATTAATATGCTGGTCTACAAAGATGCTACGGCTATTTAACTTTTCGAATCGAGCCGAACTACGCGGGTCACCATTTTGTTCTCGCGCTACTCCTCTCTCTCTTTCTCTCCCTCTCCACTGCCCACAGACAAAATTGTACGCTTTTAGTAGGCTACAGTTGTAATGGAACGTTTGTTCACGGCACAGAATTCTACAATTTTTCTGTTATCACAGTGTAGAATTCTGTGGTTTAGGGTGAACGCAAAATTTGTTGGCCTAGATCTAGGCTATATCGGTCAACGCGCACCGGGTGAGAATAGCCAAAAGACTCACCTGCACTCTTCTCACCCCGGGTGAGAATAGAGGTGGCCATCTAGATTAAAACTCTAGATCTAGAATCTAGATTCTAGTACACAGCAGCACAGAACAGAGAAGAAATTGTCGAGTGGAAAATAAGGCAGACACTCTTGATGGAAGTCATTAGAGGAATAGATTCTAGATCTAGATTTAGAATCTAGTCTAGATTATATTAGAATCTAGATCTAGATCTAGATCTAGAGTCCAGATCTACAATCTAGAGTCTAAGTCTAGTCTCTAAACGACTTTTAAAAGTAAAAGCGAAAGTAGGCAGGGCCAGAGGATGGTGACGAGCTTTGCCTCATCTAAACTTTCTCGCTCTGTTCCTTCCACACAAATCAAATTGAAACTTACATACTCTTACTGGTTCACTAGATTATTCAATTTGGACAACGTAAAAACCATCAAGTCTTAGAAACACAATAAAGCAACTTACGACTTCTGTTTTTTTCTTCGGCGTGGTAGGGGCCATGTTTAGATTAGAAAGACAGCACTATGAAAAAGTTTAATCGGTAAAGAAGGAGGCAAAATAAAAAACATGGTCTTTTCCTTGGTATATACGGAACAAAAGATTTGGCTCCCCCCCCCCCCTTTTTTTCGTTTTGTTTTGCTTTACTCAAGGTGGGGTTATTTTGAGAGAGAAAAAAAAGGGGGGGGGGGGGCGTAGGGAACTTTCTTTTCGGTTTTTTTCTAAAATTTCTGTTTATTTCCTTTACCTCAAGATTCTAAGTATAAGCCTGAAGGAAGAGGAGGAATTGAGGAGGAGGAGGAGGAGGAGGGGGAGGAGGAGAAAAAAAAGAAGAAGAAGAAGAATTCTTACTTATAGGCTGCTTGTTGAGGTGGTCTTCTGAACAGATGATATCACGTGAAGGCCCTTGTATCGGATTTAGTAAAAGGAGAGATCCGTTGTCTTCCGGCGTTTTCTCTCTCTCTCCCTCCCTCCCTCCCCCCCCCCTCTCTCTCTCTCTCTCTCTCTCTCTCTCCTACACTGAGCACAATGACGGCCATGATTTCAGGACAATTCTTGCACTTATAATTGGCACTGCGGTTACCAGATTCTAACAGTTTATTTATAAGTACTTGTATCTTTTTATTATTTTTCTTTCTTGAGATTACTATTACCATTATTATTATTATTAGTCTATTAAAGGCTATTATGCCTGTTATAAATACATGCATTGTTATTTTATTGGCGGAGGGGGGGGGGGTTCAAAATCAATAATATATTACGGTTCAAATCAAAGAACCTTGACATATATTGTAATGAACAAAATGAGACAAATTCTTTAATATGGGGTCAATATATCATGTATCAGTAATTTTATGTTTGTTCTTTATTGTTTTGTGTGTTTTTGTTGTTAGTTATTGTTGTTTTCGTAAGTGTTTTACGGCGCTCGCAACTGCATAAGATTGTTTGAGCGCGCTGGACACATTAAACATTTATCAGTTGGTAAGAAATTTTGAATTTTGCCCAGGTGGCGGCCAAGCCTACTCCTATCGATTTTAGACCACCAAGGGATCTTAAACGTGCGCTACTTGCACACTGGACCTCCGAGATTTCCCCCCCCCCCCCTTTTCCGAGAAGGCTTGGTGTAGATCTTTCCCTCCAAAAGATCAGGGGTGTGGCTGAAAGAAAGCAGTAAGGAGCCAAGCAATAACAGTAGAAAGGCTGCAGAGAGAGTCAGGAGCCCAGAGGAGGGGTCAAAGGAGGTGAGGGGTGGGGGGGGGGGGGAGCAGAAAGTGGAGACGAAAGCAGACAACAGAACATTGCCAGAGAGCAGGAAAAAAGTTGAAAGAAGGCAATTTTCGAGAAGAAAATTTTTCCCTTCGCTACCCGGATTCGAACCTAGGACCTTTGAACGAGTGGCGAACACCCTTACCTCTCGGCCACGAGAGCCCCCTTTGTGTGGTATTGTGGTGAAAGATGTGGCCAGTATGTAAGTAAGGACATGGCAAACACAATAATCAAAATTTCGTACCAACTGAAAAAGTTAAATGTGTCCCGCGCGCTCATACGACCTTATGCAGTTGCGAGCGCCGCAAAACACTTACAAAATATATTTCCCCCCAACAGGAGCAATACAGTACTCCTTTGAGTACGATGATGAAATATTGTGACAAGAATTAATTCGTTTCAATATTTTTTAGAAATCTTTATTTTGTTGAACATAATAATATGCATAATATTATTTAGCATTGGTGTACATAATTAATATATGCATGTAGGGATACATGTATGTATGTGGCATGTACGTGAGTGTGTGTGAGTGTGTGTGTGTGTGTGTGTGTGTGTGTGTAGGTGTGAATGTGTGTATGTATGTGTTTGTTTGTGTGTGTGTATGTGTGTAGGTGTGAATGTGTATATGTGTGTGTGAGTGTGTGTGAGTGTGTGTGTAGGTGTGAATGTGTGTATGTGTGTGTGTGTGTGTGTGTGTGTGTGTGTGTTAATGTGTGTGTGTGTGTGTGTGTGTGTGTGTGCAATAATGATTACAACAAAGAACACATCCATAGCTCTAGTGCCCACTCCCCGGAGGCTCTAGCCGCTTCACAAAATTATAATTAATAGATTGGGGTCAACGTTTCACGCACACGATTCTTTCAAATACATTTTTTTGAACGTACATGTAATAATATGTGAGGCGTGCTGACAAAATCAGTTACTTCTCGCAAACAAAAAAGGAGATTTTAACTAAAAATTGACACAAGGGACATATTTGTAAATTCTAAACCAATCCCATTCTCTTCAAGTTTTACATGTCTTTTATCATTCCATACATGTACTGCATGTAATAATTTGTAAAAAGTCAACCTATAACTTTGACGCATCTATTTCCATCGGCCTAAAATCCGAGAAGTAACTCATTTTGTCAGCACACCTCACATATTATTATATACTCGTAATCTCACGAAGAAGACGTTTTCAAGAAGACAGTAAGGACATGGCAAACATAACAATAAATATGTCCTATCAGCAGCAGCAGCACACACGCACACACACACACACACACACACACTCACATATACGCATGCACACACACACACAAATACATACACACTCACACACACATATACGCATGCACACACACACAAACACACACACACACATGCATACACACACAAACACACACACACACTGTGGCTAATGTCACTAATGATCACACTTGCCGCTGGAAGACCTACACAGGCTATTTATGCTATAGGCTATAATATCATAAACTAGGAACAAAGCAAACAAACAAACGCAGAAACAAACAAACAAGAAAACAGTGTCAACCAGACCAGACAATCAATGATTTATTTATAGAGGCACCAGCCATCCATGTCCAGGTGCTGTTTTAGCCTAAACAGTGTCAACAACTACAAGAAATCAGCTGTTGTTACAATTACAAGCCTCTGCTCCCCATCATCCATACATAGGAACCATTATTTTTGCTTTGATTGAAAACAAAGAGAAGTGTCACTGCATTCGCTTTCCCAGAATTACGAAGTTCTATCTGCTCTGTTCCAAGTCGGGAGAAATTTGACAGAAAATTTTTTGAGTTTCACAATATGTCGTAGGTCAAGCTTTTTTTTCGAACGCAATTCCTTGCTGCATATTATCTTGATGACGACCGCCAGCATATTATGTGAGGTGTGCTGACAACATTATGAGTTACTTCTCGGATTTTAGGCCGATGGAAATAGATGCGTCAAATTTATAGGTTGACTTTTTACAATGTATTACATGTAGTACATGTATGGAATGATAAAAGACATGTAAAACTTGAAGAGAATGGGATTGGTTTAGAATTTACAAATATGTTCCTTGTGTCAATTTTTAGTTAATATCTCCATTTTTGATTGCGAGAAGTAGCTGATTTTGTCAGCACGCCTCACATAATAGTATCTTGATGACGACCGCCAGCATATTACATGTACTAATATTAGTAATATTAGTGTATGACCGCATAGTCTTAGTAAGTGAACATTACTCAAAATAGCAAAATCCGTGTAATGTCAGATGGAACTTTGTAATTCAAAGGTTGAGCGTAGTCTGAACAAAACCAAGGCGAGCTCTAGGATATGTGACGTCATAGTAGTCAGACTTCTTTCTGTGTCGCGACGTGATGAAATCAGGCGCTCGTCAATTTGGGGGCGTAAAATTGAGTTTTTGATATCATCTTAAAGCTTGTTGGCTTATTTTATTTTTGATTTGTAAAAGATACACGTCTTGAATAGAAGTCGAGACATCAGCGCCTGAAAGACTAGAGGGAGGGGTAGATGGCCCGATGTCAGAGGTAAAGTTAGTGAGAAAATAGTCGTCAAAGTTTGGTGACTTCTAAAACTTGACTGTCCTTGGGAACAGCAAATAATATTTTACATTCTTTGTGCCTTTGATCAACGGTTTTACCCCTTCTAAACTCAACACAGAAATGTGTTTTCAAATTGATATAAAAGATGCTTCCGTCACTTTCAAATTGATATAAAAGGTGCTTCTGTAACTTTCAGTCGATCTATCTCTTCTTTTTTTTTTCCAGTTGGTTTCCAATACCTCGTCTGATATGACAAACTTGATTCTGACATTTTCAAAACATGTCCTAAATAATCCCCATCACCACCTTCTTTGCAGGTCATGTCTAGGGTCTGCTTGGGGGG